AGTTGCAACTCTTCTATAAACAGGGTGTCAACAGCAGCCTCATTCATTACAACCAAGTAGCCTCACTGCTGCAATTTGAATGGCAACTATTGGGCTAATTTGTTTAACAATGATGATACTTGGTTATTGTTGACTCATAGCTGATCTCTGGTTGTGGCTACAGATATGTAAAGTGTTTTTATTTTTTGCTTTCTCTGCACCGCAGTTTTAATACAGTTTCAAATCATCCAATTATTTGTAAGATTTTAGGCTGCAGTATCCCCAACCTTGGATAATCAAAAATATAAGTTCACTATTATTCACTTTTAATCATGTTATCAAAGACATGTCCTTTGATCACACTAGCCATAACCTGTTTTGCTAATTTAACTTACAGAATATCTATATATATAATACGCCACATATATATTTACATTTTTTTGTGTGTAACAATTGAAGGGCAGTGTTCAAAATAATGATGATCCACTTGGTGCTATGCAAACTTGATCACCGTTGAAGAGAATTCATATATATATAGTACACTACATATATCTTCAAGAATGCTATGTTCATTTTTAGAAATTCATTTTAAAGTTTAAAAATTATAATTAAAAAAAGAGTAGGAGAACAATTGTTGTCATAACTCATTAGTTATCAAAAGAGTTTTTTTTTTATTCATACTACATCTTTCATTTATATTAATTATAATAGCAATTAAAAGCTTATATGATTAAATAATTAGATAGTTTTAAAGCAGTTTTTATGTTACAATTGGGAACATATTTTGTGGAATTTGGTAATAGCTTGAGAAAAAAAAATTAATTAAAAAAAAAATAGTTTATGAAGTCTGTAATTTTAAAAGATTTTGGCAGGCCACATGTCTAGATCCTTTTGTACTAACACGGATGACTATGACATCACCTCACAACTTGACATCTACACTGATGATGCATCCATTTACTCCTGCCTTGATAGTAAGGCTGATCAGTCAGACAAGGTCAAAATGGCAGCATATGTTCAAAATGACCTCAAGTCCGTCATTAACAGGGGCAAAAGATGGCTTGTCAATTTTAATGCCCTCAAAACTAAACTCTCCATTAATCATATGAGAGACCCCTCTTTGCCTTCCATCAGCATGGCTGATGCTAACCTCCAACAAACTGACTCATTGAGCTTTCTCAGACTAACATTCTCAGTTGATATGAAGTGGAAAAACTATATTGAATCCATTGCTAAGTCAGCTGCTAATAAAGTTGATTCACTGTGTCATGTGAGGCAGTTTTTCTCTCCAAAATCTATCTTACATATCTATAAGTCTACCATTCACCCATGCTTAGAATATTGCTGCTATATATGGTCTGGTGCCCCTGTTATTTACCTTGAGCACCTTGATAAAATCCAAAGAAAAATCAGCAATATTAGTGGTCTTGATCTTGCATCTCGGTTTCAGCCACTTTCCCACTACCATAAGGTTACCTCTCTATGTCTTTTCTATAAATACTTTCTATAAATACTTTCATGGTAATTGTTTGGATGAGCTCTTCACCAAGGTACCTAGACATTTGAATTTAAGCGCAGTACTAGTCTGGCATCGAGATCTACAGTTGAGCTGGCTAGATGTAGTCATAAGTTCTTTGCTAACAGTTTCTTTTCTTGCACTTCTCACTTGTAGAACTCCCTTCAGGCTCCATGATTTCCAGTCAACTTTAATCTTCAAAAATTTAAATACAATGTCAATTGCTATCTACTGCCCTCCTAATTACTCTTTTCTCTTCCCACTTATTATTAATGTTTCTGTTCCTAATTCTTCTAAACCCTGTAATCCCTTGTGTCTTAGTGGCTTTACTGCCTTGCATGGGGTGATACCAATAAAAAAAAAAATCAGTGGAATTAATTTCAAGGACATTGTTAAAATTTGATTCTTTAAAAAGAAAAAGTCAGACACATACAGCGAAAAGAAATGAAGTGGAAGTTTTTCTTTTAGTAATTGAATGAAGATTGTCCTAAAATTTAGAACGTTGTAAAAGAGATAACAACAACTAAAAAATAAAAAGGAGAGACAGGCCGCCCCCTCAAGGTAAGGCTTCAAGAACACCAGAAAGCTGTAACGCGAGGGAAGTAGAAAAATCAGGCGTGGCTGACCACATATGGAGAGAGAGAAGGAGATCACCGCCCCTGTGGGATCATGTTGAGATCATAGACAGGGAACACCATTGGAAAATTCGTAAACTTAGGAATCAGCACATATGCTAGGCCACAAAAATCTCCTGAGCCGACCAAGCATAGAAATAAATACAATATGGGGAACCAGTAATAAGGAGTGCCAGAGAAAAGCAATGATAACAAAGTTGCAATATGAACTCTGGTAAAGACATGCAATGATAACAGCAAAAATTGCAATATGAGCACTGGTATGATGCTGAAAACATTAGGTTTATAATACTCAGAAGTTCATACCCAGATGTCCTCAAGGACACATGGCACAGTGGATAAAGGCGTTGGTTAGATCCAGACAGGTGAGTTCAATTCCTGGTTAAGGCAGTGGAGAACTTTCAGAGGGAAAAATTAGCAGGAGATAACTGATAACTGACATCCATCAAACAGTCGAAATAAAGGGTTCAGTTCGAAATTCCAACCGGAGCGCATAAACGCCAAAAACGTTGTGACAAATATGGCGACAAAGATGAGGACAATAGTCCGACTAATGTAAATACTGTACATAATACCTCATCTCAGAAATATAGACAAACTCTAAAAAATAAAAGTATTTAATAATAATAAAAAAAATATGCAGGAACTGCACATAGCAAAACAGTTAACAGTGCAGAAAGTGGAATTGTAGGACTGAATTCAAATTTCAACTCTATTTCATTCATTTTCACACTAATGCCTTTGGGAAAGGCATGAATCCATCTCTTTCCTTTCTAGCAGATAGCAGAGGAAACTGACCTCTGTAGTTGAATTTGACAACTGGTCTCAAATAAGACATGTGGAGTCAGTTTACCCGAATTTAAGGTAAAAAAAAATAAAATCTGAGCATCATGTCCCCAAATACAACAGAAAACAATAAACAATGCAAGGAAATGATTTTCGCAGAAAAATATGACAATAAGATTTATAAAGTAGATAAATGTATTTACATATTAGAATTCAATTGTCTTTTCTGTGGCCATGAAGGGATCAACAGTTTGAATGTTCAAAGTTATTTTGTTGCAAGTGAATCTGTAAAGTTTGAAGTTATTTTGTTGCAAGTGAATCTGCAAAGTTTGAAATTATTTTGTTGCAACTGAATCTGCAAAGTTTGAAGTGATTTTATTGCAAGTGAGTCTGAAAATTTCAAAATGATATGTATGCTAATATGTGCGTGTTAAGCGCTTGTTAATGAAACATGTGTGACTGCTGACTGATTGCATATGATAGCAGTAATTTTTAATAACAGTGAACAGAGAGAAAATAGATACTTACTTTTGTCATGGCATTGTATGTAGAAAAATCATTGCTGATACGTATTGTCATGGTAAAATGTGTCTAAACTGTTTATCAAAGCATGGTCAGGTTTGCTGACTGTCTTTTGCTGACTGTTATGTTTCAGATCTGGTTGCTGACTGTTATGTTTCAGATCTGGATGCTGACTGTTCTGTTTCAGATCTGGTTGCTGACTGTTATGTTTCAGATCTGGTTGCTGACTGTTATGTTTCAGATCTGGATGCTGACTGTTGCTGACGAACTGTTCTTATGGCTTATGGTGAGTTGGTGACCAGTTCACAAATCCTATCTGAGTTTTGCATAGGAATGTAACCCAAGCCCTGGCCCATTTCCAGATCATTTGGCGTTCAACCAAGCAGACATTGTAGAGAGCACTGTGACTTGTCATATCCAATCAGGTGCAAAAAAACCATGATTTAATTTTTGAGTTGTGTTTGTACAGAATTGTAAAAAAAAGTTTTTCATATCTACTGAATTTAGTAGGATTTATTTGTAGTCATCTCTTACTTGTTTGTTCTTCATGCATTGACCCTAAAATATAGGAGTTTATATCCTATAGACAACTCTAAATTCAAAACTATAAGTAACCCTGGCATAGCACCTACTATACAGCCTTGGAAAGGATTCCCTAATTATGGATTAAATAGTAGAGCAGGTAATATAATAGCTGCTTGGAATGAGGAAACAGTGTAAACCATGTTCAAATTCCAGTTGAGTTTGTTAAATTCCCTTTCGCACTAATGACCTTGGGGAAGATATGAATCTATGTCTTCTTTTGACACACTGTCATTTTTGTCTGGTGCTAAATTATACTTTATCCAAATTGTTTATTAAATTGTATCTTAAAAATCAGACAAAAAGAAAGAAACCATGAGTTTTTTTTAATAGTCAAAGGAAGGCTGTCCGAAATTGTAGAAACTTGTAAAAGAGATAACAATAAATAAAAAATAAAAGTATTTAATATTGATAATAAAAAAAATCAAGAGGATGCTTCCTTGACCACTATAATCTTAACCTCTTAGTCCAGGATCAACCATTACCTATCCTATATGTCCTTATAATGTACAATTCTTAATCCTTCCTTCCACCTCCCTTACAATCTCACTTAGTAATTCTCTACCTTGAGTGGCCCTTGGGCCTTGTATTGCGTGAAATAAAGTAAAAAAATGTATTCTGTATAAAACTGTAATGATCTTGGTGAGACATGGCATTTAAAAAAGAGATTCAATAAAATAAATGATAAGAATGTGATAGAAAAATATATACATATTTAATATAATCATTAAATTGAAGATTATTAAATATAAGAAAAAAGTTAAGTTTAAAAATACATTGAATTCTGTAAAAAGAAAAGTTAAACTAAATATTAGGAATAATTTTATTAAGAGTTTATTATTCGGCTGACGTTCTTATAATATAATGGTCAAAAATCTTATTTGGTGTCGAGTCTAATTTTTCCTTAGTGATTGTTGTCAGATGATGGCGTCTTAGTGACAACGAGTTACGCGCGACTCTCAACATGTTTTTACAACCTGATGGTTTCATCGGAGAAAAGAAAAGTAAGTAATTCGCTTAAATCAAAGCTTTATTCTCGTTTTAGAATGATATTTACAGTTGTTATTTGTTACGAAATGATGAATTACAAAAAATTAAAAAAAAATTGAGAAATCAATATTTTTATGTTTCATTTCTCAATGAGTCAATAGTAAAACTTTTGGTAAATTTTCATTTCAACACCCGAGCGCTAATATCCCTTCAAATTTTTCCAACATAGTCTTATTTCTGTGCAAATGTATATGCTGAACTCAAATCAACAATTAGATATTATTAAAGAAACCTACCTTTTTGGATGTTAACGACCAGAAAAACATCGAACTTCTCGCTCTTTTTGTCATCCCTTACCGGCTTTAAGTAATTAAGTGCTGAATTCTGTCGGTGGACGTATACAATTTGGGCCTATTTACTCCCTTCACAGTAATTCCTTGTAGATAACTTTCAAATTAGGTTTATATGTTTTTTTTTCTTTTGTTATTCTTTTATTTGTCAATGTTTATATTTGAAAGTTAATTTTATTCTTAAATTAAGTACAAAAAAAAAAAAAAAAATCGCTTTACAGAAATGCGTACTGATTTCTGAAAGAAAATAGTTCAGCAGTAAATGACGCTTGGGTGTTAAAATGAAAATATACCAAACTTTTTTGTTTTAAATTTTATGAATAAAACATTTAACTTAAAACAAGCGAACTTGAATTTTAAAATAACCAAAAAAAAAAAAAAAAAGGAAAAGCATTCGTTCGAGGAATCGATTTGATTGGTAAATAAATTTCTTATTAAGTTAAATAATAATAATATTTTTTTAATTTTAATTAAAAATAAATTAAAGCAATATGGAAATAAACAGTAAAAAATCAGTCGTCGTAAATATTAGGTAGGTATCACTAAATGGAGATGACTCAATGTTGAGAGCAGACACGGAAAGGAAACAAAAGAACTCCTACAGAAGGTATTGAAAGGAAAGCAAGAAGAAAGGACTAAACATCAATTGCAAGAATATAGAATTCATGGTTGTCAGTAAAAGGAACAACTGAACATTTAGATTACAAATTAGAGGTACCAAAATCAATCAAGTAAACAATTTAAATATCTGGGAAGTGTTTTAACAGAGGATGGAAAGTGCAACAGTGAAATCCATAGGCGTGGCTGAGATAGCCAAAGATGCCTTCCAAAAGCTAAGCAGAGTATTAAGAAACAGAAAAATTTCATTAGAAACAAAGAAAAGAGTACGGGACTGTTATGCAATATCAGTTCTCCCATATATGGCAGTGAATGCTAGACAATCTCCTCACAGAGGAAGCAACAGAAACGTTGTTCAAAAGATTATGCTGAGGATACACGACAAAGTTTTAGAGAAAATGGAAACAAAAAGGAAACTTATACTTAGCATCAGAAAGAGACAGTTGAAATTTCTAGAGCACATAATGAGGAAAGAGGGCTTGGAAAATATGATACTCACAGGACAGATTGATGGAAAGAGGGGCAGAGGAAAACAATGCATAACCTATTTAGTGAGCTTTAGTAAAAATGGATGGTGAAACAAGGTTTAGGAGAAATAACAAAAAGAGCTATGAAGGAAAGGAAATTGTGGAGAGCCATGATTGCCTATGTCCTGAGGAGACACAGCACATTGAAAAAGATCACCCAAGTGTGTGCACCCTTTTGATAATGAAAACTAAATCTGGTTTTTTAAAAATTTTTAAAAATTAGGGACTTATCTGATTTAAATGACATTTTCTTCACCTATTCATTATTAATGACAGTGGTGGAGTGAGTCGAAAATTTCTATCGGGAAAACTTGTAAAAGAGCCCAGTGAAAAAGACCCACTTTAAAAATGTATTGTAGTCAAATAAATCAAATAGTTTTTTTAAGCAAATAAAATGTTACATCTTCCCAGCATCTACGCACTATTTTTCATTTTTTTTTTTTATTATTTCTAAAGTGATGGACTATCACTTTATGGCCTGCTGGGAAATTTCCTGTTATCACAGTAGGCCAGTTTGCCACTGATTAATGAATTTAATTAATTTTATGCTGAATGCATCATCATGTTTTTAGAAAACTTTGTGAAAATATATTTGATCAGTTTCACCTGACGATATTTTCAATATATCTTCTGTATTTTTAAAATTTGGTGTGGATGTTTGCAAAACTGTTTTTGCAGTTGTAAAGGAGAATCCACGAAGTAAATAAATACATAAAAAAATATGCAATATCGTGTATGAACACACTGAAAATTCGTCACGAAACTTACAAAAAATAAGTCAAAGATACCTCCAAAAATTTAAAAAATGATCATACATGATGCAAAAATGTCCCAATCTTAATAAAGTTTTATCATCAAAATCTTTAAGCTATTTAAGAAAGACCAAAGGATTTTTTGATTATTAAATTATATTTTTGAATCCTTTTTAGATCTTTTGAAGTTTTGGTTAAAAATTTGTTTTACTTGTGTCAGCAGGAGACCATAAACTAATGTGAGAAATTTTAGTGTTAATTGTTTTCATCATTATTTCTTTATAAATTAAAGGATAAATATTACATTGCATTTGTTTTAATTAATTTTTACAATGGTGTAAATATAAAAACTATTCTTGTAAATAAACAAACAAATAAATAAATATTAAGTGTTTAATATTTTTGTTTTAAATTCTAAAAAAATGTATGTAATGACAAAAGTACACAGGTGTAGGCTTTAAGAAAGCTTTAATCAACTGAGACGTTCGCATATAGTGTCCTTTTATAGTCCTTGTAAACAGAAATAGCTCTCTCAAAGAGGAGAGTAACAAAACAAGTGAAGACCACTTTTGATTATTCATAACAATGTATAAATTAACTTCCGTATGTTTAGGTTTTATTTCAATTCTAATCACCACTTTTTAAAACAAACATTGCTGAGGAGTGAAGGTAGTTAAAATAACAGCGGTGTCAATGGAAAAAAAACATCTTTTGGCACTACATTGTTTTTTGTGAGCACAAAGGTTAAAGATTGCCAAAAATGATATTAATAAACTAGTGGTTATATATGGTTAAAGATAATTTATTTTTAAACATAAACAATACTAGTTGTTTCTAGATTCTAATACTTTTTGTTCTCCATACTTAATTTGCTGTCATGCGTCTATTTTTAAAAGCAGAGGGTGACAGTAAATGGCTACTACTGTTGACCTGTGACCTTGATGACAGTTCACAGGCTACTGTATATAATAAATGTTATTCTCGCTATTCTTTTGCCAAAATGAGGCATTATTTTTATAAAAAAAATTTAGTTAATCCTTAAATTTATTAATTTACTTTGAATCACATCTCTAGGACAAAGATTGAATTTTTAAGAGATTTTTAAATTTGTTATTTTCATTTTTTTTGTCAGTAATGGAGGTTTGATGAGTGATGAATGACTGTGCCATTGCTTTAAAAATGTCTAAAAACTTTATTTAAATGTGTAAAAATATTTTTCTTTTTTCATGGATTAGCTTTCGGATATTTTCTTTCAAATAAAACCAAAATGTAAATTCAAATAATGCATTTAAATTATTTAAAATGTATTATTTTTTTTTTTAATATGTAAGTCTGTAGTGATACCAAATATTGGGCAGAGACTGGCTTCTCGGCTTTTTGAGGTACAATATTATGTATTTAAGTCCAGTCTCTTCAGGCAGTACATATTCTTCAGGAAGGGGCTAAGATTAATTCCTGGTGCATGAGGCATCCTCAAAAGGGAGGCTGAACTATTTTTGGCCTCTGGTCCCATGTATATGTGGGTCCATCACTATAAAGCAGGCCTTGAACCACATTCATATCTAATGAGCTTTTTGATAAATATCTTAAGCTAATAGAGGTCATTGCAATAGAAACTTTGGCACTACTAAAGTTGACAGGTACACTCAAAAAAAAAAAAAATAAGGAATAATTTTTTTTGGATGGTGGGGGTCATATAATTTATGTAGATCAGAATTTGTTACACCCTTTCTTATCAAAAGATATTGATTTTGGTTATCATTTTAAAAGTGGGGTCCTGTTTAGAATGCAAAAAAACAATGTCAAATTCAATGAAAGGCACTATTTAAGTTAACTTGGTCCACTCATTAAAAATAATGAAAAAAAAATTGGAGTGGGGCAGAATAGTTTTTGTTTCATTGTCGATCAAAAAGCATCGGGGACTGGAGCTGTAAAAAGAAAACTACAACACATATCAATTTCACATTTTAATCTCTTTCAAAGTAGTTCCCTTCTTGAAGCTAAACACTTTATCCAGTTTTGTTTCCATTCATGGAAGCATTCCTGAAACTCCTTTCTTGTGATTAGTGAGCAGCTGCCTCGTCGCATGTCTTGGATTTCCTTGACATCTTGAAATCTTGTTCTTTTCAAGTGGGATTGGATTTTTGAAGAGGAAAAAGTTGCAAAGGGTAAAATATCTGTGGAATATGGTGGTTGTTGGACTATGGGGAATGTTGTCCTTGGCCAAAGACTGCGGCACAAGCTATGGTCACTGATGGAACCTCTATGGTGAGACAACCACATGCTACACACTTTTCTTCCAAGCACTGCTATAAACAACAGAAGTGAGTGAAAATGTTATAACTTAGGGTGTACATGCGACAGAATTCAAGGTGTCAAGTGATTCCACTTGGTGTACTTTAGCCCTGTTGCCATAGCAACAGTCTCAATACTTTTTGACCAGACCTCATATATTTGCATTCATTACATCATCCTCAAGCCATTATGTAGCAATGAAAGTTACTTTCCTCATCAGATAAAACACCCATATGTTGTGTATTCTCTGACAAAATAAAAAAAAACTGAGCCTTTTTAAAAAACAGGCAAGCTATGCAAATTTTTTATCTAGCTAATAGACCAATCATGGGCTCGGGTGCTTATATAAAACACTAGCCAGTCAGATACATTCCGACTGCTCATGCATGTTAATGTTGACTGTTGGTGTATTGGTAACAGGTTGGTGTGTTGGTGACTGTTGTTGTCTTGGCAACAATTTGGTGACTGTTGGTGTATTTGTAACAGTTTGGTGTCTGTTGGTGTGTTGGTAACCTTTAGTGTTGTTATAAAATAAAATAAGACATATCTCGGCTGATTTACAGGCAAATACTCAAGAGCGAGAGCCGGATGTGGACGGGACAAAACCCCATCACAAAATGACCATTATCTTCATTTACAAATTTTCCCAACACATGAGTTCCGGTTGAAAAATAAAATAATATTTAAATGTTCTATTTTTCGTCCAATAAAAATGCTTCCCTCCTAATTATACTTGCTTCGTTTTTCGAGCATGTTAAGCCATAAAAAAACGCTATAAAAGGGGTCACACGGAAGTTCAACAGGCAGTCCACAGGTGCCCAGGGTAGAGACCTGTCACGTTCAGCTGCTGACAGCAGGGAAGCATCAACCACCGTCAACATGTGTGAACTCCTATGAGAGATCGACCTAGATCTGAAGCCGGCTTATGAACTTTACCACAAGGTAGCTTTCCCAAACCCACACGTTCCTGTTGAAATAAACCACGTAAATCTATTTCTGCTGTTGTCGTATTTCTTTCTTGCAACCATACGCTTGTCTATAACAGTGCGTTGGCAACAATTTGGTGACTGTTGAGGTGTTGGCAACAGTTTGGTGTATTAGTGACTGTTGAAGTGTTGGTGACCCTTAGTGTGTTGGGAAAACAATTTGGTGTATTGGTGACCTTTAGTGTGTTGGCAACAATTTGGTGTGTTGCTGACCATTAGTGCTGACAACAATTTGGTGACTGTTGGTGTGGCGATGACTGTTAGTGTATTGTCAACAGATTGGTGTCTTTTGGTGTGTTGGGTAACAATTTGGTGACTGTTGCTCTGTTGGCAACAGTTTGGTATGTTTTGGTGTTTTAGTGAGTGTTGATGTGCTAGCAACAGTTTGGTGTGTTGATGAGTGTTGGTGTATTGGTGACTTGATGTGTTGTCAACAATTTGGTGACCATTGGTGTGTTTGTGACTGTTTGGCAATCATTGGTTTTGACTATTGGTGACATTGTATGAATTCTTCCAATTACACACAACATTCATCAAAATCAAAAGATACTAATTTTTTTATCATTTTACAAAATGGTCACAGTGTCAAATTGATCCCTGATTTCTTAAAGATTTATCTGTTTTTATTCTGTTGTTAGCTGGGGCAAGAAATGGCTTGTTAATTTTAATGCCTCCAAAACAAAAGTTTTGATCGACTTAGAGAAACTATTTTTACCTTCCATCAGCATGGCAGGTGCTAACCCCCAGGAGAGTGACTTATTGTGCCTTCTCAGGCTCAAAATTTCCACTGACGTGAAGTGAAAAGATTATATTGAATCCACTGCTAGGTCGGCTTCTAAGAAAGTTAGTTCACTGTGTGTGCTAGACAGTTTTTCTTACCAGAATCTATCTTATACATTTTTATGTCTACCATTCATTTAAGCATTGAATATTGCTGCCACGTCTGGTCTGGTGCTTCTGCTATATATTTAGAGATTCTTGATAAAATCCAAAGAAGAATCAGCAATATTATTGGTCCTGACCTAGCATCTTGGCTTCAGTCACTTTTCCTCTGCTCTAACATAGCTTCCCTGTGCCTTTTCTCTAAATATTTTCCTGGTAATTGTTGATGAGATTTCTTCTTTGGTCCCTTTGGCATGAATTTAAGAAGAGTACTGGATTGGCAGCTAGGTCTCATCCTTTTACAGTTGAAAATGTTAAATGTAACTGCAAGTTCTATGCTAAATGTTTCTTTTCTTGTACTTTTCACTTGTGGAAATCTCTTCTGGCTTCTTGTTTTCCATTCGAGTTTGATCATCAAAATTTAAATGCAATGTCAATTGTCATCTTCTGTCTCATTGAATCCTATTTGGTGAACATGGATAAAGATGTCCGCAATAAGAGGGAGTGTCAAAAAGTTTTCCCATTACACCGCTTTTTAACTAGCTTCCCTCTTTGGCAATATTTATTATTTAAAAATGTGACGATTAGAATTGTAATAAAACCTAAACCTATGAAAGTGAATTCATACATTCTTTCTGAGAATTGGCAACAAAAATTGTTGTAACCTAGCGAAGGTTACTGAATAGAATAATCAAACAAAGGTTGCTAATGAACGATAATACTTAGGACAAGAACAACACATATAAGATTTGCCAGCAGCACATAGAAGTAGTAGTCAACTGCTAGAAGTGAGTCAAGTGAATTCCACAATGAATCTCCAACTGCAGGATATCTACCAACTGCCCCATGCAGTCAGATGTGGCATGAAGCTGAATTTAATGTGTGTTATCCGAGCCAATAGGCTCAGCCAAAAATTCCCTGTAGACCCCGTAGAAAATGGGGGCAGGTAGCTATTTCCCAAGACAAGACTCTGCTCTTTGACATCGCCTTGTCTAGGGATCCTCTCTGCCCAGAGGCAGAGAGTGTGACCAGCATAGTTGGAGACGAATCTCTAACTGCAGACCAACATACAGTATTTACTACTGTATTTATTTGAATAGGGACATACCCATTATCATCCTTAGGTATGCTACAACAAAAATAATAAACACTATTTATTTATTAGATTATTTATTTATACTATGATATTGTTTATTGGAATGGTTGGCAAAACATTGGCTACTTGCCAGTTGATTCAAACTTTATAAAATGGTAAATAATAAGGATTTCTTTATAGTTGGTTCACATATTTTAATAGTTTACTAAATATTTATACATTTATGAAAAAAAAATTCACATTTATTTCTTTATAAATTGGTAAATGATAAACATTGGATAGCATTAGTTTAAATTAATTCTATTAGTTTTCAGAATGTTCTAAATATAAAATTGTTCTTGTAAATAAATAAGTAGTGTTTGGTGTTTTTGTTGTAAATTCTTCAGAAGAAAAAAAAATGCATAAATTGACTTTTATCATGCATTTAGGTTTTATTCCAATTCTAATTATCACTTTTTAAAAAAATAAACATTGCTGAGATGTGAAGGTAGTTAAAATAAAAGTGGTATCATGGGAAAAAAACATCCTTTTGGCACTCCGTCTTATTGCAGGCACATTTATCAATGTTTGTTTCCTGTTCTTTTATTGTCTTCTCTCCTTAATAATGATTTTTCTTAGATTCTTTCAATCTCAGTAACATCTTGCATCTTAGTGAATTTATCACCTTGCTTGAGATGAAATGATTGAAAAGAAATTTCAAGTTAAGTTTGAAACTGTACTTACATCATTGATAACTGCATACTATTAATGTTACCCGTTTTCTAAATTAATAAGAATATACAGTTATCTATTGAATTCAATTGAATATTATTATAATATCAACATAACATTTTTAATGTTATTTCTTTTCCTCGTTCAATACAGTACCTGTGTTTGCTTTCACTTTCATATTTGTGTATGTGTTGGGGCACCTGGGAACTGCTATGCTGTTTCAGTGTGTATTGCGTAGTGACAAGAAATAAAAAAAAATAAAAATAAATAACTGATTCATTTTGATTTTATCTGTACATAAAAACAAGAAAGAAAAACTGTGTTTAGACCATTGTCAACAGGGTCACATAAAGACCCCATGTGCCATCCCTTTGAATGTTGCAAAAGTTAATTATTTCTCATTGCAGCTCTTCCCAAATAATGGCTGCCAGTTCCTGAGCTAATGGCTACCAAGATCAGCTTCATAAAGACATGTGGTGACATCGTTAGTCGCAGCCAGGATCAAGCACTGGTCGCTACAATCTACATCCTTCGAGAATATGGGCCAACTGGCTTTCTCCTCAAAGAAGAACAAGAAGAGAAAAATTTTAAGGTATTTATTAGCTTCATTGCATCTTCTCTTCTCAATAGTATTAGTTCCTCTGTGGAGTAATGGGCCACACCCTCACCACACTAAGCATTATTGCTCTTGTCTTTATAGCTAGGAAGTTTTATGTGGTGGCTTTTGCCAACCCCCATGTCAAACTAGTTTTGAATTCAGTGTTATACTTTTTCTAGAGAGCCCAGTCTGTTTAGATATTTAACCCATAGTTGGTGGAAGAAGTGATGGAGTTATAATGTTGTAGTGCATCTAGGAAGGTTGCATGAATATTTAAGATTTTGCTGCAAATAAAATATGCAATATCCACAAACATAAATTATAAGAAATGGTCAAATGCTAACGATATTCATTCATGACAAAAAATACATCTTTGAAACAACAAATTAAATCTTATATACACAATTTACAATTTCTTTGTTTGTAATGATGTGTGCAAAAGTATATTTAAGAGAAAAAGTTCTTTGCTGTTTCAGAAATGTTCAAATATCAAAAGTAAATAAAGGATGTCTGCCTTTGATTAAAAAGGTTGAATTTAACTTAGACAAAAGTTTTTTCTATGAAAGATATTGAGTGAAAAAGTTTGTTGTGTAAATTTTTCTAATCTCTCATAAAGGAAGTTTGTTTCTTTGGCATCTCTCTGAAGCAATAATTCCTGTGTATATCTTTGTATGTGTGAATCTCAATTGCAATGAAAATTAATTTTCTGTTTCTATTTATAGTTTTTTTAACAACCAAATTGGCTCAACAGGGCTTGGTAGCTGTTGTGAATTTTTCTGAGAAATGCATGGGTGAATGTTGTATTTTTTATTTTTTAGCCAATAGGATTTCTTGAAACATTTAAATTAGGGATGAATTTGAGAAAGAATTTTTAAGTCAGCTGAGCTTACTTTTGCACAAAATTTGATTATTTTGTTATGGAGATTTCTCGAAGCTTATTTTATATTTAACAACCAATGAAATTCAAGAAAATGTTTGAACTTGAAATGAGGGTTACTAAAATGTTACCAAAGGTATTTGCATGAAATCGAATGTAAGGATTAAAAAAAAAAAAATTAACTAATAAACAGCCATACAGGTTGTGGCTGAAATATGATGTGTTTTATAGGGTTAGCTGATGGTCACAAGTTCCAAGTTTTAGAATTGCTATCAGCCAATCAACAGAAAAAGGAAAAAGAAGCATGTAGAAGATTACCATTTTATTTTCTTCAGGAATAAACTGATCTCTAGGCCTTCAATCTTGTCAACTGGAGCAAGATATAGCTTTGTTAATTTGAATGCCTCCAAAATGAAACTGCCCTCTTTTAATTGTCCGAGAGAACCCTTTTTACCTTCCATAAGCATGGCTGATGCTAACCACCAGGAGGGTGACACATTGTGCTTTCTTGGGCTAACATTTTCCACTGAGGTGAAGTGGAAAGATTATACTGAATCAATCTGTTAAGAAAGTTGGTCCACTGTGTCATGCTAGACAATTCTTCTCTCCAGCATTTATCTTAAATATTTATAAGTTTACTATTTGTCCATGCTTCAGATATTGCTTCCACATCTAGTCTGGTGCTTCTGCTATATATTTAGAGATTCTTGATAAAATCCAAAGAATCAGCAATATTATTGGTCCTGATCTGGCATCTCAATTTCATTCACTTTCCTATCGCTGTAACATAGCTTTCCTTTGCCTTTTCTATAAATACATTCATGGTCTCATTATTTTGCAGTTGAAATGGCTAGATGTAAATGTAAATTCTATATTAACAGTTTCTTCACTCACATTGCTCATTTTTAACTAACTTTCTAACTTCTTGCTTTCCAGTCAACTTTGATCTTCAAAAATTTAAATCCAATGTCATCAGTTATCTTGTCTTCTTAATTCATTGTTCTCTCTCCTTATTAGTGTTTTTTTTTTCTTATATTCTCTCATACTCAGTAACTCTTTGCATATTAGTGGCTTTATTGCCTTACTTAGGGTGAAATGATTAAAAAAGAAACAAGCAGGAATTCCATCTCCATTTGATTCTAGATCTCTTCTTGTTCTAACCATGACTCTGCCCATACTAGAATGTGGCCCATGACCAGAATTCCTTACCTTCAGGCTAAATGTCACTTTACCCCAAAAGTTTTTAAATTTTTTTTCTTTCTTTATTCAAACATTTTATTTCTTTTCCCTACTATATATCAGGCAGTTGCTTTGGAACTCCTACATCTCAATTTTACTGATGCCGCAGTTATCATAAAAGAACATTAGTTTCTCCAGGTCTACATAAAGATCATTTAGATTCCACTTGACTATGGGAGGGTCCTCAGCAATTGAGTTTAATAGCAAAAAAAAAACAAGGTGAGAGCTATGTATTGGGAAAATCAAAATGAAGTGGGTACAGAAATTGAACTATCTGGGTAAGATAACATGATGAAATGTGGGAAACAGAGATCCAACGGCACATAGGCATAGTAAAAGTTGACATTCAAAAACTAAGAAAAGTATTTAAGAGATAGAGAAATATAATTACAAACAAAGAAATGAGTGCTGAACTGCTATGTAATATCAGTCCTCTGATATGGCAGTGAATGCTGGACAATTTCTTTATAGATGAAGAAGAGACATGAAGCAAATACCATGGATAGAACAGAGATAGGAAAATATTGTTAGAAACAAAGAAAAGATTGCTGAACTTTGATGTAATATCAGTCTTTCTATATGGCCGTGAATGCTGGAACATTTCGTCATAGGTGGTTTTACCAATGAATACTGAGAATATAGACAGAAAATGTTAGCAACGATGATGTTTTAAGGAAAATAGGAACTGCTATGAAACTTAGAATACTTACAAATTTTATTTCAATTCTAATCATTGCTTTTTAAAACAATAAACATTGCCGAGGAGGAAGGTAGTTAAAATAATAGTGGTGTCAAGGGAAAAACTGTCCTTTTGACACTCCCTTTTTTTGTGTGTGCGAAGGTCCACATTTGCCAAAAACTTATTAATAGATGTATAGGAATTAAATCCTATAAATATTTTTCAACCAATAAAATCCTGTCAAAAGTTTTGTTTGATAAACAATAATTACTAGCTCAAATACTGCCAAAATACTTGGAAGACATAGTTGTAGATGTACTGTATATTATTTTTGGAACATTTAGAAAATAACAATAATAACTCCTTTCACCATTCCTGCAAATTCAAGAAAAAGATTTCCGCAAGCCAGGATGAAATTATTTTTTAACTAATGAAAACCTTGTATTCAAAAAATTCACACCTCTATGTGAAATTAGATTTTGGATCTCCCTTATGGATATAAAATAGAAGCCTACTGCTTTTTGAGGTTCAAAACAATTTCAGAGATCAGTTTGATCTACATGTGCATACACACATACCCACGCACACAAACACAATGAAGAGATGACAGTCAGCAGTTGTTGACTAAGGTTTTATCTACAAACGCACAAACACATTAGTCATAAAGAAAGTCTGTCCACACATTTCACAGCACACTATGAATACATAATTACTTGATAAAACAAACTTCACTGCAAGAAAAATTGAACATTTTATTGTTATTGTATATTTCTGGAAAGAATATACAAACGTCATTTTAAGTGATGTTCTGCTTTTCTGAAGGACTTTTCCTCCAGAGAATAAACTTTCTTATGTTTCATTTAAAAGATGTGTTGTTGTTGTTGCTGTTAAATGTTTGGAATCCTGACATTCAGTTAGTAACTAAAACCTGGGTAGATGAATCACAACAGATGTAAACATTCAAATGTCTTCTTTTTCAGTTACTAAGGGTTCATTGATTATTCATTTATATTAGATTGTCTAAATCTAGTCAACCAAACTTTGTGTAAATTCACAAAATGAAAAAAGCAGAGTAAATAGAGGTAAATAGGATCATTGTTCCAAAGTCATACTTTGTGGTCAGGGCTTGCAATTAATGTCATCCTGGGGATTATAGGACTTTTAGTTATGTGCCATGCGTGATACACACTTAGGCGATCATGTATCTTTTGATACATGACTGATGAGGCAGATTTTTTCCTGCAGTAGGTTGCCATTTCTTTCTGCGGTAGACCAGATGCAATCCAAGGCTATAGAACCCGGTATGTCCTACTATTTACCCATAGTTGGAGGGAAAAGAAGAGGATTCATACCTTTCCCAAGAGTATTAGCACGTAAGTGAATGTAATGGATTCGACTGGAATTCGACGGGAATAGGACTTTAGTTTGGGATGATTGCTTAGGTTTTTTGGGGACAATACAAAATTTAAAATTAAAATTTCATTATATTTATTCTAAAAGCAACTAATTAAAATAAAAAATAAATTCTAACTTCTCACCAACAGTGGTGCACTTTTAATAAATGGACACACACACACGCAAAACAAACTTTTGGATTACTTTTAAACTGGTGAATGAAAATGTAAAAATGAAGATTGAAGAATAAATATAGTTGTATTAGTTATCTCTAAATATGAAAATATTTTAGAAGGATGCTTTCCCAACCACTACAGTCTTAACCTCTTCAAGTCTAGGGTTAACCATTATCTTTTCCATATATCCATATAAACTCTGCCTCTCACTCTGTAAACCTCTGCCTCGAGTGGCTCTTGGGTCTTTTAGTTTGGTTAATTAGTAAGACTTGTATTATTAAAAATTATTATCTCCCCACAAAATTATTACAATCTAAAAATATTTTCTGGCTTTAAATAACTTGCAAACGGTTGATAAGCCATAGAAAACAAATCAATTACTCAATCGCACAAACACACATACACACACAAGAAATAAAAAAATTTAAGCAACTTTTTTTGAACTCGAGAATAAAACACAAATGAAAGTTGTAGGACTTAAATTTCGATATTTGTATTATTTATCTCGAAATGTAAAAGAAAAACATTAGGGGAGTGCCTTTCCTACCGCTACACTCTTAACTTTTTCAAGTTTAGGTTTAACTCTTATCTTTCCCACATATCCACATAAACTGTGACTTTCACTCTGTAAACTTCTACCTTGAGTGGCTCTTGGGCCTTTTAGTTAGGCTAATTAGTAAGATTTATATTAGTAAAAGTCATTATCTCCCCAAAATGTTACAATTCAAAAATATTTTCTGGCTTTTAATATCCTGCCAAAGGTTAATAAGCTGTAAAAAACAAATTAATCAATCACACACACACACAAGAAATAAACAAAACTTAAGAAACTTCTTTTTAAACTCGAGAATACAACCCAAATGAAAGTAGAAGGACTTAAATTTAAATATTTCTATTATTTAATCTGTAAGTGTAAAAACAAAAAACATTAGGATCTAATTGTAAGAACTGATTTTGCTTTAATAAACAAAATAAGAAAAGTATAGTTTTCTGTCAGTTTTTGTGTAAAAAAATATGAATGAACCATTAACAAACATGTTTCTGTGATTTTCTGTTCATCATAAACTAATTTGAAAATGTAAGAGAATATTTAAAAAATGAAAAATAAATATAGAAAATTTAATTATGAACTTAGACAGATATTTGCAAGTGAAAATTTTTTGATAAAGACTTCAAGACATTTTTAATCATGAATAGTTAGAATGCACTAATATTCTTTATATAGAAAATAAATGCATAGTGCATAATTCTTAAAGAAAGATAAAAGTTACTCACAGCATGAAAATCAATTAATAAGAACATTTCTGTGTAAAATTTTTCAAGGGGATTTATAAATGATAATGTTGAAATAAAACATTTCCATTTGTGGGCAGTTTAAATTTTTGGCGGGGTGATTAAAGTTGTTTTTCATGACAGTTCTAGGACAAGAAAAAATTTGTCTGGACTGTGCTTATTTTGATATTGGTAGAACTGTAATATAATGTAACTCAAACAAAAACGAAGACAATTCAGAGCAGAAGTCAAAAATTTGAAACATTTAATCTAAATTTCTTGTCTGAATTTCTACAATGAGGTGTTATCAATATTTACATTATTTTCATTTGGACTCATGTCCTCATTGTTTTTATAAAGAAAGGAAGAAAAGGAGGAAGAAAGGAAAAAACTAAGGAAGGAAGAAAGAAATAAAGAAAAGAAGGAAGATAGAAAGAAAGTAAGAAAAAAGAAAAGGAAATCATAGCAAGGCTACAGCAACAACAGCTATGAAAGAGAAGCAGTGGTGAAGGCAGTCAAGCATGACAGCAAGAGCAAGCAGATCATTAGGTTTCAGGTTTCAAGGTCTAGGCTCAGGATTGTCCTATGAGACAATAGCCGAGTGGATAAAAGCATTGCTTTGTGAATTTGTGAGTTCATCTGTGTACTGAACCAGAAAGTACCTGCTATGCTCTCTCTTTATAAGAATCGGATCAGACCAAAAAGGAGTACTGCTGCCATATCTGGTCTGGAGTTGCCCAAGACTCACTTTCCAGCCTTGATCAAAAGTGTCTAAACGGCCTTGTGGGTGATGAAATATTTTTTCCTCCTCTACAGTGACAACCCATCATAGCCCTCTCGCTACTCTATTGCTATTTCAACAAGTTAAATTCATTACTTCCACTAGTTCAGGCCTTCACAGCTAAGACTTACCATACGCTGGGATGAATCATTCCCATTCCCTTCATATTCTATTAATAAGAAGGAAGTTCTATTTGGACATCTTCCCAAGAGCTGCTACTTTATAGAACGGACTCTTCACCAATACAATTTTCATATCTTCAAGTTCAGGGTCAACTATTATCTATCCTACATATCCTCATAATCTGCACTTAATTCCTCTTCTTATGCCCATTCAAAAATATCTTTCAGTTACCCTCTACCTTGTATTGTGTGAAGTACCCTGTGCCTCGTATTGTGTGAACTTTAAAAAAAAACACTAAAAAAAGAACAATATATAATGTCTCTAAACAAGGAGAGTGGAATGAGAACAATCAACTTTAAACCCATAAATTATATAAAGGGCTCAGTTCAAAATGTCCTGAAGGTTACCTAAATTGACAGTCACTTGAAGGAGGCTGGGGAGAACAATGGCCAAAGAAGTGGTGATAATAACAATAAAGATATGGACAAGCAGTCTGAATATAAATAATGTGACTAATTCAAACTAACATGAACTGGTTAATACAAAAAGCATATCAAATAAGATCTCTCTTAAATTTGTTTTATATGAAGTATTATAAACTTGTTGTAGAGATGAACACACCTCTCCAGAATATGGTTTGGACTTGTCCAAATAGCATGTATACTGATGCCAAGAATCATCTGAAGAGCTATCCTTACGACAGAATTCAGTAAGACTATGTCAACTCCAAACAATATTATATTTCATGATTGTGTTATCTACACTCAGTGGAATGAAGACATAAAACCATTATTAATTTTTGCCTCATATTGCATCTGAAATTCTGTTGCTTTTCATTTTTTGTTTCTATAGAGTGGTGATGAAAAGTTTTTAAACCAACCCAATTCCTAAAAATCAGTATTCTGATGTTTATTCTTTGAAATACCAATTTTGGGAAGTGGACCAGGCCACAAACTTTTTAGCACCCCTTCATGTGTGCATGTGTGTATGTATGTGCATTTATTGATGAATGTACTGAATTTCATTTATTGATGAATGTACTGAATTTCTGATTTTCGGAAGTTGGTCGGAGCAAGAACTTTTCAGCACCTCTTCATATGTCTGTATGTATATTTATTTATCAATGTACTGAAATAATGATTTTGGAAAGTTGGTTTCAGCACCCCTTCATATGTGTGTGTTTGTGTGTGGGCATTTATTAATGAATGTACTGAAGTGCTGATTTTGGAGAATGGGCTAGGCCAATAACTTTTCAGCACATCTTTATATGCGTGTGTGTGTGTGCATTTATTGATGAATGTACTGAAGTGCTGATTTTGGAAAGTCAGTTGGGTTGAGGACTTTTCAGTACTGTTTCCTATTCTGTATGCGACAACCTGTTCATTGACAGGCAACATTTACACATGAATCATAAAAGGAGTCCACGTGTAAGTATATGAATTCTAATGTAATTTTTTTTCAATTTTTCAGATCTTCCTTGGCCAGGAACATACCTGCAGTTGTCCAGCATTTCAGAAGACAAAAGAACTGTGTAAACACATATGTTGGCTCTTGCTGAAAAAATTCAGAGTGTCCAGAAATGCCCCATGTAATTACATTTTTTCCCCTTTTATTTATTTATATATATATATATATATATAGATTGATAATATTTGTGGTAAATATACACATACATATGCAATCATATATCTAGAAGAAGGAAATTACTGGAAAGTAATTGAAACTCACCTGAAGCAAGCTGAATGTGTAATGCTCCTCATGCAAATGACACTTCCACCGAGCTTCTCTATGGCATATGACTTCACTGAATTTTGATGTGTTCCTCTCGAATTTATATTTAAAAAATATAAATATATATACATACATATATACACATATATATTTGTATAAAAAATAAATCCAAGAGGATAGAATCCAGGTAGAACTCAATGTCCGGGACAGAGTAAGGATATAATAAAAAGGCTTAAACACTAATATTCCATGGTCATAATTTATTCCATTGGAATCATAAATACGATCCAATTCATCAGACCTACAAATTCAAAAAAAAATCAGATCATATTTACGATTCCAATGGAATAAATTATGACCATGGAATATTAGTGTTTAAGCCTTTTTATTATTATATATATATATATATATATATATATATATATATTAGTGAAAATATATAATATCCAAAATTGACAGCACTCCTCAGAGTTTCATGCAGTTAATGCATACTTCAGGTGTGAATTCTGATCATTATCTGATAATGGTCAGAATTTACACCTGAAGTCTGCATGAAACTCTGAGAAGTGTTATCGACATTGGATATTATATATATTCACTAATATATACTTACAGCTCTGTTTCATAACATTGAGCACTGTATTTATAACACCTTAGGAATAAATATACATATGTACATGCAAATATTTGTGCATTTTTCCTACCCATTCTATATATATATATATATATATATATATATATATATATATAACCAAATGGATAAATATAGGTAAATGTATGAGTGAGTGTTCATATACAAATACATATATATATGCTTTATAGTTTAAGAAAACAGTGCTCAATGTTAAATAACAGAACTATTTAATATATTAAGAAATATACATAATACCTTACATCGATTGCACAAATCTGAGTTTCATGCCAATGCAATTTTCAAGCACTTGAAAATTACATTGACATGAAACTCAGAGTTGGACAATCAATGGACAATCAATGTAATATATTATATATATATATATATATATATATATATATATATATATATATATATATTTATTTATTTTCTTAATATATATATATATATATATATATATATATTTTTTCTTAATATATATATATATATATATATATATATATTTATTTTAATATATATATATATATATATATATATATATATTTATTTTATATATATATATATATATATATATATATTTTTATTATATATATATATATATATATATATATTTATATATATATATATATATATATATATATTTATATATATATATATATATATATATATATATATATTTTATATATATATATATATATATATATATATATATATATATATATATATATATATATATATATATATATTTAATATATATATATATATATATATATATATATATATATAGTTTATGAAAAACTAGGTAATCCGTATGGGTAAACCTAAGGAGGATAAAATCCAGAGAGCTCAATGTAAATCCAGAGCAAATAATTTAAATAAAAACAGACCACTTTAAGGTTCCATGTAATAAATTATTTCACCAACAGCCCTTTTAAAGGACTGCGGATCATCAGACTTTACTTCCAAACAAAAAATGAAAAGAAAATTTACACATTTTTGACGGGCCATATTAAGCATATGTAAATTAACGAAGTGTGGAAGTGAGTGGGCAGAGAGAACACATGAGTGAGTTAGCAGATATTGACACATTTAAACGGTTAACTTAACGAAAGTTATATATTGATATCGAAGGGGTAGAGAAGAAAAAAACTCATAGAGAAAAAAAAGAGAAGGAAGTTAAGAGAGAAGAGAAGAGAAGATGTCATTAATTTTCTTTGTAAAAAAAAAGCTAGAAACAGACGCTGTTATTTTGCTTTACTTTGAAAGTGTTATTTTGGGGGTTCATAAAGATTATAATGTTTGATATAAATTTGAATGTCTCTAGACTGTCTACAATAATTTAAAAGTGCTGTGGTGAAATAATTTATTACGTGGAACCTTAAAGTGGTCTGTTTTTATTTAAAATATATATATATATATATATATATATAATTGGGAATTTGGGCCACAATCCCACTTTTATACAAATTTACAAATTTCATTAAAGATGACTGACAACGTACTGTGTTTAAGCTTTTTAAAATATTTTTCTTTTGTTCATATAAGTTTCCTTTTCTGTGTAAAATTTGCCTAAATGATTTTTTTTAATGTCCAAGTGCATTAAGTTATTCTTTTAGTCATTTGCAGGGATGTTTTTTTAAATTCTAAATGAATGTGTAAATTTTTATGTATGTATCTAGAGTTATGGGAATGGCTTTCATTTTCCAAACACAGTCACCACTTTGTGGCCATGTTCATAGGTGATGTTATTGAGTGTTTGTCTTTTCTTTTGTATTATCAATGCTTCCACTATTTTTAGTATTTTTTTACATGTGGATGAGGCTCTTATATTATAGTTGTATTTTTTATGAGCATGAGCAGTTTCTCACACATCACTGTTTGTGAATGTAAGGGCCACATATCAGACAAGGGTTCTGGAGCCACTTCACATCTATATTGAAGTGAATAAGATGTTAACTTATCAAGATTCCATTGTGTTATCATTTATGAAGAATGGTTTGGAATGAGAAATCAGAGTGCCGATTTTGAATTTCAGTCATGTTTGTTACATTCATTTATGCACAAATACCTTTGGAAATGGTATGAATCTCTCCCCCTAACTATAGGTTAAACAGTAGAACTTGTATCTGTAAAAATCATTGTTATTCTCAAAAATTGTTAGTGCAATATTCACTCTCAAAGAAAAAAAAATCTTACAATCCAAAATATTTTTTGGCTTTAAGGGGTTGATAATTCTTAAAAAATAAATCATTTTTTTTTTTTTTACACTAAGTGTTCACCCATTACAAGGCCAGAATGCCACTTGATGTAGAGGGTTACATTAAGAGGAAGTTTGTGCAGATAGGAGGGGAAGATAATGCTTAACCCTATACTTGGACAGGTTCAGATTGTAATGATTAGGTAAAAATCCTCTTGGGTGTTGGCTTCACAGAGCAGTGGTTTGTGGGAAGAATCTGTTTGAGTGGAACTTACTTCTCACCAATGGAACATAGAGTGTATGTGGGTGGTTTGCTACAATGTGAACAGCATGGCAGGTCTTAGCCATGAACTGGCGGTACCAAGGAATGTAGTTCATTCATAGCATTTTCCATGGAAGTAGTGATAGAGCAGCTAGAGGCTTGCCATATTCTGCCCGTGAGAGAGATGCTGGAGGGTGGGAAACAGTTTGTTACCTGCAAGAATTCAGAGATGCTTTTGAACTTTACCAAGACTTGAGAGTGAGGATTGGCCTGCCCTTTGCCCAAATATGACAGCAATACGCTGTTTTAGGCCTGAACTGGTTCTTGTAAAGATAGAAATCATTTAATTGGTGCACACACTTCATTAAAAAAATCTGTTTGCTGTTTGTTATTTTCTTCTCTTTTCTAAATTTTCATTTTTGCAGTGAGCTGGCAAAAAGGCTTAAATGAACGTGAAATCAATGAGCTTTTATACAACCAAACCAGCAATATTAATGCAAACAACTCAGAAGCAACATCAACTCCAAGCCAAGAAGCTGCTGCTGTTGAAGGAACAAGGGAGATAACTGATGGTTGTGTTGAGCAGAGAGCAATTGATGATGAGTCTGTGTGTCCAATTTGTTTGGACAATCTGCTCAAGTCTCACCAGCCAGTGACATATTGTCGGTAAAGATTTACCTCTTCTTTAAATCTTTTCAAGGATATAATGATGAAAATTAAAAAGCTGGTAGTAAAAGTAAAAGCTGGTGGTAAAATCTAAAATGTAAAACAAAAAGAATATCATTTATATGTTTAAAGAATACCATTTGAAATTTGATTGTTCTTAACCTTCCATTAGAATTGTGGGTCATTGTTACAACAATAGTACTGTGGGACATGCAAAACCTTTTTGTGGACACTCTTTCTTTTTTTTTTTTAGTTCATGAGGGACTTCTGTAGACCACTATAGCAGTGTCATGACATCTCCCAAAGCACTAAGTGTCCTGGGTAAGATGATAAACTACATTCAATAGTAAGGCCTCTGATCAGGAGGTTTTGAGGAGTGTGGAACCACTTCTTAATTGCTGGTGTTGCCAGGTCCACCCTGATCTGGATTGATAGCACCTGTTAGGGTCCCAGCTATGGTAAAATAGTTAACCTCCAAATTGGGTTCAAAACACTATGAAAGTGTAAAAATTGGTTTTAATACAAACAATACATTTTTGGAAAAAATTATTACCAGCAATACATTTTTGAAGAAAAAAATATTACCAGCAATACATTTTGGAAAAAAATATTTGTAGCAATACATTTAAAAAAAAAAAAAAATATTACCATCAATAAAAATCTTCTTGGCATTAAATAACGCATTGAGGCTGATATGCCATAAAACAAACCAAACCAAAGCACCAAGCTATGAGTTTACAACACCACTTGTGATCTCTGTGTTACTATACAACACCAAGAGATGGCTCTCAGCAAGACCTAAGCCTCCTGCATTCATGGCTTTGAGTCCCATGCCCTCAGGACCATCGAGCGAGTGCACTTATCCAATCTTGTGTGTAATGAGAATCTCCTACAAAATGGAAGTAGGTAGTGCTAAAATTCTTTATCTGTGTTTTTTTTTGTGTCAGCAGAAATTGAATAGTGCAGAATGATAATTTTTGATTGTTGGCCATCAATGGACCAATTTTTCCAAGAAAGAGTTGCTACTGGCTTTGAGTTGCTGATTTTGACTTTTTATCCTCTCTCAGTGGTTCTTTATTTCTCATGACTAGAGGTCATGAGAAATAAATTTGGGTAATTTGATTGGCCCATTATACACCCTTCTGATCATGTGTGATGTTTCCCCATATAATTGCACATATGAAGAATTCTTTTGGCTGTGGGCATGTGTGTTGATCTCTGGCATTATTATAAAAAAAATGTGTGTTGATTTTTGGCATTGTGTCAATCTGTCTTCACTGACAAAATGTATGACAACCCAGTTTAAAATATTACAGATATACCATTTAGTACTTAATTTTGCTATATATTTTCTTGAGTGTTCTTGGTTTTTATAGGAGAAATAAAAATGAAACAAACAGAAGGTTGAAAAATTGAATTAAAAGGGTCATGTTAAAAAACAGAAATACCTACTTAAAACTATATTCTTTCTTATTATTGAATACATAAACCAATTTTAAAAGAAATGTCCCAAAATCTGTATAAAAATCAAATAATCACTCCATTAGTGCTATGGGATACTTTTGCATGCCTAAATAAAAACCTCATGTTTGGCTTTTGTCCACAGCTGCATCTGCATTTTTGGTTGTGACTTCTTACATCATTGTACATATATATATATATATATATATATATATATATATATATATTATAAGTTGTTACATATAAAAAACAAGTAAAATACAAACATCCTTATTCGTTTTGGTGTCTTAACTTATAAGCATCTTATCAGGTGGTGAACAAAGATGCTTATAAATGATTTGTTCTTAGCCTTTATATATATATATATATATAGGTAATAATCCATAGGTATATAATTCAAGTGAATTCTAATAATATAAAATATTAAAATTGATCCACAAAGTGAGCTCAGTGTGTTCATTATAACAGAGCATATATAAATAAATAAATTACATAGAATAGAAATTCCAAATTACCCCATTTTAATAGCTATTTCAGCCTACAAGAGCTTCCTTGCAGGATTTGTCAACATCAAGGTATTAAAAAATAAGATAAAATTGTAGCTTAAAAGCTTTAAACTTTAAAGAATCAAGAAAGAAGAAGAGAGAAAGATGAAAGAGTAAAAGAAAAAACAGAAAAGAGAAAGACGGACATAACAGAAGGCACAGCAAATTGTCTAGACAAAACTTAAACTTGATTCTTTAAAGTTTAAAATTTTTAAGCTACCATTTTATTTTATTTTTTTAATCTTGGTGTTGACAAATCCTATTTCTATTCTATCTATCTATCTATCTATCTATCTATCTATCTATATATATATATATATATATATATATATATATATATATAATGTTTGATTAGCTCTGTTCTTCACATTGAGCTCTCAGGATTTCATCCTCCTTGGATTTACCAATTGGTTTACCAAATTCTTCAAACTTTACTTATATATATATATATATATATATATATATATATATATATATATATATATATCTATAAAAAGGCAGGATGTGTGTGTGTGTGTAATGAATGCACGGCCGCAATTTTGGATTTGCACCAAAATTTACATGCACATGCTCCAAGTTAGTGGAAAGGCCAAGACCAACTTTGCATTTCCCAACTCCTATCAATAGTGGAAATAATCGATTTTTCATTCTTCTGCGGCAGTTTTCATGTAGTTTGCGGCCATTTTTGTATTGACCAGAGTGAGAGCCTATAGCTGGCTACCACGAATAGGCAGGAAGATTCTATTGGCCAGTGTGACAGCCAACAGCTGACTGACACGAATGTTAACTCGCATGCTAGCATGCAAAAAAAAATCGATAGCTGCATTCATCACAAGTGGGAAAAATTTAAATCTGCATGGCACTTTACTTCAATTGGCTCATTCGTTTGCTTAAACTCAACGTTGATTCTGATTCCGCAGAACTGGGTTGTGTGTGAAAACGTATTTGTTATTAACATTCTTTTTTCATTTGGTTTTTCCAGTTATGAGTCCTTTTTTAAAGCTGATTGTTTTGTATTCAGTTTGTTTAGTTCTTTTTTTTGTAACAGATTTAATGTTTAGTATAGAGCTTAGAAAAAATTTGCAGTGTGAGATAGGCAAGAAGTAAGGCATGTAGCAATATCAGCATGGCAAAGGCACTCCTTTAAAGGCAAGGAAGGGCAAAAATATTTTAAGTCAATTGATAGCGGTTGCTGTATGAGTCGTACGATTTTTGAATCAAGCATGGGCAACACTGGGCCATGCTGCTAGTATATATATATATATATATGTTCTGTTTTCACAGTGTGTGATATTTTTTTTCACTGGTATCACCCCAAGCAAGTCAGTAACGTCACTAAAACACAAGGGATTACAAGGTGTGGAAGAATTAGAAATAGAAAAAATAATGATGAGCAGTAAGAGAAGAGAGTAATCAAGAGGACAGTAGATGACAATTGATATTGCATTTCAATTTTTGCAGATTAAATCCTGAAGCTGGAAGAGAGTTTAACAAATGAGAACTGCAAGACTGTTATCATAGAAATTACAACTGCATCTGGCCAGCTCAACTGTAAATCGATGAGATTTCAATGCCAGTCTAGTGTTGCCCTTAAAGTCAAAAAGTCTAGGTACGATAACGAAGAACTCATCGAAACAATTAGCATGAAAGTATTTATAGAAAAGACACAGAGAGCCAACCTTACAGCAGTGAGAAAGTGACTGAAGCTGAGATGCCAGATCAGGACCAATAATATTGCTGATTCTTCTTTGGATCTTATCAAGGAGTTCTAGGTAAATAGCAGGGACACCGGACCATATGTGGCAGCAATATTCTAAGCATGGATGAATGGTAGACTTATAGATATGTAAGATAGATTCTGGAGAGAAAAATTGTCTTGTACAACACAGTGAACCAACTCTCTTAGCAGCTGACCTAACAATGGATTCAATATAATCTTTCCACTTTATGTCAGCCAAGAATTGTTGCCCAAGAAGGCACAATGAGTTACTTTTCTAGAGGTTAGCATCAGCCATGCTGATGGAAGGCAGAGAGGTCTCTCAGGTGATTACTGGAGAAAAGTTTAGTTTTAGAGATGTTAAAATTAACAAGCCATCCTTTGCTCCAGTTAACGATGGACTTAACGTCGTTTTGGACATTGACTGCCATTTGGACCTTGTCAGATGGATCAGCCTTATCATAAAGGCAGGAGTAAATGGTTGTATCATCAGGGTAGATACTAGGTTGAGAGCTGATGTCATCAGGAAAGTGATAAAGATGATGGATGCAAAAAGAAAAACAATCAAAATGGAATTTACTTGATTATATACTTAAAACACGTATAAAAATTTTTTTTTCTAAATTTAAAATTTCCAGTGTCTCTTGTTCAAGCATATGGGATGAAGATACATATTTTTATATATCAAGAACAATATTGGGGAAATTTTATGACAAAGTGGAAAAAGTTTACTTGTGATGTGTTCTGTCCTTCATATATATATATTTCCAGCTATGGATGTGGAAACAGCATTCACATCAAGTGTATGAGGATTCATGCAGTTCACCAAAAGACAAATGAAAAAGAGACAATCACCTGCCCAATGTGTCGGGCCAATTTTGTCTCTCTGGAAACACTTAAGAAAGAAGAACGCAATTCAATGAATGGTGTCAGCCGACCTGTGAAAAACTATCATTATGGAGTCACCTGTGAAGCTTGCCGTTTGACACCAATTGTGGGAAATTGCTACAAGTAAGTCATGAGAAAATAATAAAACAAACTATTAATCCTACAATCTAAAATGTTCGATTACTTCTTTGACAAGGATTCTTCTTTTTCAAACAATTAATGTCAAGTTTTGAAGGTTTGTTTAGCAGAAACGGTCTCCTTTCCCAAAAAAAGTAAGGTTAATTTTTAGTTGTCTTTCATAATGATGTAATTCTCTTTATTAAAAACCCCTCCAAAAATAAGATATACTTTTCTAAAACTTTATTTGAGGAATATTAGCTGATTTAAAGAATAATTAATCTGATTTGAAACAAATAATATTCACTTTAAGTTTAAAATATCACAGAAATGCATTTTTTAACCTGACAGTAGCTGTGTTGTTAGTCCAGTAGTTGTGTTGATGTGCTGACAACATGATGATAGAATTAATGTTTTCTTACAGAGACTTTATTTGTAAAACATAATTGAAGAAAATGATGTGAGTACCTTTTTTATATAATTTTTAAGTACTCAATAATCTTAATAATGCTGGAAATTATTTTCTGATAATGTTGTGTATGTTTGCCTATACTTAGAAAAATCAGCACGTTTGTACACATACAAAAAAAATTCAAAATTCTTTTAAAATTATTGGTTTTTGATTATTTGTATTAAGCTTTTCCATTTATGATTAGTAAATATAGTTTTCACTTAATAATAATATCATCTAAAAGGCTGAAATTAATACAGAATTTTAAAAGATTTAATTGCTCACTGTATAGGTTGAATAAGTCTGGTGAGAAGATGCATCCTTGTCTTACATAACTTTCTAGTTTTGTATCATGATTATTATTCCATTTGTGGCCTGTGATATCATGGATAGGACTAAATGTAAATGCTAGAATTTATTAATGTCAGTTGGCAGACAGTTTGGGTATTTGCAATAAAAAGCAACTAGAATTAAAATAAAACATGAGTGAATGATGAATAAATGGTATTGTTATGGTCCGGTTCCTTGTACCACGGTGATAGTCCAAGGTAGCACCAATAAAGAAGAACTTGAAGGTGGATATGGAATAACACAGATATATTACAAATAGGAATATATACAGAGAGGTAGAAAAGTGTTAGTACGAACAATCAGGTTTAGTAGTAATTGTCTGAACGCGACTCTGTTTCGGACTGCCTCTGACTTGACTGACTGACTCGCTCGCTCTGACTGACTGACAGACTCCTGACGGACTTCACTCCAGACTTCAGACTGAACTCAAGACTTCAGATGGAACTCCAGACTTCAGACGGAACTCCAGACTTCAGACAGAAACTCTCTGCTTCTTCTTGAGGCGCAGTATTTATTATGTATGGAATAGTCCATTATGTTATTATGGGTAAGGTTCCATAACAGGTATATAAAATTATCTTCTGGGTTTTCAAAAACCAAAGTATTACAATGAATATGTTTTTTTAATTATTGAATAAATTAAAAGGATGAATAAAAAAAAAAAAAAGGTCTGTAACATTAATCTTAACTGTATATACCAGCCTCTTTCATAAAACCCTTGATAATGTCTGTCTTGTGCTTTTCTAAGGCCAGAAAACCTTTCCATATGTCTTTTAATTGAAATATATGCAGGGTTCGATGGGTAAATTGTCGCCATTTTATATTTTTCATTTCAAACATGGGCATTGTTTGTTTTTTGATTTTGTCAACTGCACAGTATAGTACGGTCAGGTGATCATCATTTATGAGAAACAGCGCACCTTGATGCAAATCAGAAATTTGGAAATGGCATGCTGTACTACTTGGCATTCGTGCCGGAAGTTTCAATAACATTTCACAGTGTTTGGGTGTCAATCTGGTGATTTTATTGAATAAATTTATTCTTTAGTATTCCAAGATATTTTTTGTGTAATTTTGATAAATATATCTGTTAAAATGAGATGTCAAGTGTTATTTTCATTTAGACAACAATTTATCCATTGCATCCTATATATATATATATATATATATATATATATATGTATATATACAAACAAGTTTAATTAGAAAGAATCGATATAATTAATGTGTGCATATATTATATTAGTATAACAAAAAAAAACAAATAAATAAATCACATTCTTTTTGTGTGGCCTTGTTCCCAATAACTGTTACACGTGATGTCATGTTAAACTATTTCAAAGTTCCAGCTTCCCAAAGAATACCCAAATGTCAACGTGGAATTCTAACAACCACACAGACACCATATTGGTTTTTGATAATCTCTGTGATGGTTGAAAGTACTTGAATAAAAGAATAACAAAATATGAACTTTGGACAGTTTATCCATAACTTCAAGCACACTACTCAACAACTTATTCAAAGGTTGGAAAAATATAATAAAAAATTAAACAGATATACCTTGTCAGTCTTTTTAATCAAACTTGCTTAGAGGGTAATTTTCTAAGCATAGCTTACATGTGTTCTAGCGAGACAAGCATACTGACCATTACACCATGTCGAGGTGCCCAAACTTGTTGAATGAATATTTATGATTACTTGCTACCTATATATATATATATATATATATATATATATATATATATATATATATATATAATACAAAAGATTAATGGCTAGAGTTGAATCAGACCAGGAAATAGTAGTATTAAAAAGTGCTCAATGCATGTGGGAAAAAATAAAATAAAAGTAAAAATAACATGTAGAGCTTTTAACTTTAAAAATCAGAAGGTTGGTTGAATCCACTTACCTTGGTTTCAACTTTACGGTATCCTCAGGCAATTTTTATCAAATGACCTCTTAACGCTTTCTTTATTTAAAAAAAAATGAACGCTATATTAATATTGAAATGTACAATTTTGTATCCAGCTTCATATGTGTTTAACAGGAACTTTCTATGTAAGCAAGGACTTAATACTTTGGATTTCTGATTCAGAAGGTTCTTTGGATCCAGAAATGTCATAATTGCTAATTTTTCCTGTTGGCAGAGGGTGCAAATGTTGTTGTGGTTGTTATAAGGCTTTAAAATTTTCCACCTTACAATCAGATCCCTGTTTTATTTTTCCTTTTAAATTTCACACATTGTTAGTACTTAAGATTTACTAGCTTAAATGTACATTTCAATTAACCCCCCACCAATACATTTACAATACTCTTGCCTTTCTTCTCTTCCCCCTTCTTCTTTTCCTTCCTTCTTCACAACCTCCTCCTCCTTCCTTTCTATTACACATAACATGTGTTCATTTATTTATTTTTAAAAATAATAATATAGTGTTCATTATTTAAAAAAAAATAAAGTGTTAAGAGGTCATTTGAAAATAAAACACCTGCGGATACTGTAAGGTTGAAACCAAGGTAGTGGATTCAACCAATTTCCTATATTTTTATATATATATATATATATATATATATATATATATATATATATATATATATATATATATATATATATATATATATATATATATATATATATATATATATATATATATATATATATATATATATATATATATATATATATATATATATATATATATATATATATATATATATATATATATATATATATATATATATATATATATATATATATATATAATATATATATATATATATATATATATATATATATATATATATATAATATATATATATATATATATATATATAATATATATATATATATATATATATATATATATATATTATAATATATATATATATATATATATATATATATATATATATAAAAAAGTATATATATATATATATATATATATATTATATATTTATAAAAAGTATGAATTTTCATTTCATTTCGATGCTATCTGATGATCCAGAGTCCTTTAAAAGGGCTCTGGTGTAATAAATTATTATAATGGATCCTTAAAGTGGTCTGTTTTTTCTTTAAAATATTAGCTATGGATTTACATTGAGCTCTCAGGATTTCATCCCATACGGATTACCAAGTTTTTCATAACTTATATATATGGTCTAAAAAATGTATACACACTTCAGGAAAGGAAAAACTTGTATAAATATTGTAATACTAATTTTATTCAGACATCATGAGATTAATATAAGTTACTTTTGGACTCTACAATCACAAGAGATGCACAAAATGGTGGCCTTTAGCTTCCAGATATCTATTCATATGGCAAACTACTGCTTTGACAACATTGTCCAAAGTGTCCAGTGGGATTGCAATTTCTTGTCTAAAAGCCACCAATGTAGTCAGTTTTCTGTGATAAAATTACTTTAGGACTCGTTAATGCTACAGCCATGAGGATTTTCATCTGTCGAGAAAATAAACAGTGTTATTGCAATTTGATAAAACTGCAGAAAATAGGTTTTCCCTTTCCTGAAGTGTGTATACATTTTTTGGGAAGTCTCTGTATATATATATATGTATGTATGTGTGTGTATATATATATATATATATATATATATATATATATATATATATATATATATATATATTTCTCTTGTTTCTTACAGGTGCACTTCTTGTGAATCTTATTACTTATGTCAGACCTGCTTCAACATGCCCATACACCAGGAACATTCCTTCAAGTTCCGACAAGTGAGATCATTGACTTTCATTGAATTATTAATTACTAATGCAGCACAAGTACTCAAGTGACTGATTCTCTAGTGCTTTCTTTAGGCAGGAAAAGTGATGGAAAATTACTTGTTATTGCTGAGTCACTACCAGATTAGGTTAACAAACATCCACCTACGTTGTTGGTCATCTTGCAATTTTATGAGATTTTTTGCATTTTCTTCGCTGATATTTAAACCGAGAAATGTCTTCTAAAGGAGTTGATTCTTCAAAAACATACTTAATTAAGATTTAATTTCCACCATCTTCTTTAAGAGCTTACAGCCATATCACGTTGAAATACACACACACACACATCTCTCTCTCTCTCTCTCGGCATCTATGCGGATGACACCACAATTTATTCCTGCCTCAAAAACAAATCCAGTCTCGCTGACAAAACTCACCTTGCCGTGCGCCTCGAAAAGGACCTCCAATCGATTGTGAACTGGGGCATGATTTGGCTGGTCAACTTCAACGCTTCGAAGACAAAACTGCTCTCTATTAATCACCACAGAGAGCCTTCCTTCCCTCCATTAGAATGTCTGACGCTCAACTTCCCGAGAGCAACTCTCTGCGACTTCTTGGTCTCACGTTGACTGCTGACCTGAGATGGAATAAACCATTGAGTCAATTGTCTCGTCCACTCGAGGAAAGTTGGCTCCCTGAGCTGTGCTAGGAAGTTTTTCTCCCCTGAGTTGATCCTCCAGATATACAAATCCACAATTGCCCTTGCATGGAGTATTGCTGCCATATATGGTCTGGCGCCCCTTCTGTTTGCCTCGGGGTTCTTGATAGGCTCCAGAAGCGGATATGCAATATGGTTGGCCTGCTCTGGCATCTCGTCTACAGTCACTTTCTCACAGACGCACTGTCGCCTCCCTCTGTCTGTTCTACAAATACTTTCATGGAAATTGCTCCGAGGAACTGCATTCGCTGGTTCCCAAACTTCATGAGTTCAAACCCCCCACGAGGCTGGCATCCCGCTCTCACCCCTTCACTGTCGAAACTCATAAATGTAGCTGTCTCTTCTACTCTAATAGCTTCATGTCTCGCACCTCTCGCCTGTGGAACTCTCTTCCCTTCTCCTGTTTCCCTGAGAGTTATAATCTCCAGCTATTCAAGTGTAATGTCAATCGACATCTCCAGTTGCCTTAATCTATCTACTACCCTCATCCTTTCTTTCTATCACTCCTCTCTGATCTTCCTATTTTCTGTAACCCCTTATGTCCTAGTGGCTCCCCCTTTGCTTGGGTGAAATGCTTAAAAAAAAAAAAAAAAAAAAAAATATATATATATATATATATATATATATATATATATATGAAATGCGATATTTGGGAACAAATTTTTATTAAGACAGGTTTTGTTATATAATTTAGACATGTTCTGTCTACTTATTCTCAATAGGATCCTTTCATATTCACGGATAAGCTTTTTTGTGCAGTTATTAAAAGATGGTTGGCTCATATTGTATATTAACAATAACCTGATGATGACATTATGCTATGTTGAAATAAATACAATATGAACCAACATTGTGTTTTCCTCTTGTCTTTTAATAACCACACAAAAAAGCTCATACACAAATATGAAAGGATCCAATCATGAATAAGTAGACAGAACATGTCTAAATTATTTAACAAAACCTGTCTTAATATATATATATATATATATTGGTGTGGCTTACTATATGTCATTTTTATTTTTATATATATATATATATATATATATATATATATGGTGTGACTTGTGTGTCGACGGCTTAATGGTTAGAATCTCCGACTGACACCAAGTCAGTCGGCTTTCGATCCTAGCTAGAGGCAACCGGATGTCTAGCCGCACTGGCTCCTGAAAAATTAATTTCAGTTGAGCTCTCTGGGGAGGAGGTGTGGGTTGGTAAACAATAACTATTTATAGCTATATAGCGAGACTCTTTGCATAAGCAAATCGAGTCACTGTCAGCCACTGGGCGTGTTTCTAAAAATAAATATGCTAAAAATCCACCTTCATCCCTACCGTGCACTTAATGGTTAGAATCTCCGACTGACACTAAGTTAGTCGGGTTTCGATCCTAGCTAGAGGCAACCAGATGTCTAGCCGCACTGATGAGCTGTGAAACAGCGAAACAGTCTGTCTGTGGACGATGTATATATATATATATATATATAAGTATGAATGATCATGGCTCCTACAGCATGAACCTTGTAGCTCTAAGCAACTTTTGACTTGTTACCATCCATCTTTGTCCTCACTCTGCCATCCAAGGCCTACGCTCATACCATGTTGAAACACTCTTTCCTGTACGATCATTGGTATTAAGCAATGTTAAGCCTAGCCAATACCTAGATGGGTAACCACTTGGAAATATCAGGTGCTGTAAGTTTTGGTTGCGTATGTGATATAATAGATAATGGCTTGGAATTGGAAATCAGGGAGCCAAGCTCCGATTCTAATCAGTTTTCATTATATTAGCTTACACACAAATGCCCTTGGGAAAGGTATGAATCCACCTCTTCTCCCCCAGCTATGGGTTAATTAGTAGGACTTTTAACAGTAAATCATTATTCTCTCCAAAGCATTCTTACAATCTGGAAATATTTTCTGGTTTTCACTATCCTGCAAAGGATTGACAAACCGTAAAAAACAAATCAATAAAATCAATCTTCTTTAAAGTAGTCCCTCTTTATAAAGGAGAAGTAACGTATCTAGCTTATAGCAAGTCGGGCATGCACTATGAATATCAATTGTTAGAAGAGGGGGCACCACAATGTCACTTATTTTTTATTATTAGATTGGCAACTAGGTCTCACTGTTTTAGTGTTGAACTTGCTAGATGCAACCGCCACTTCTATTCTAATAGTTTCTTTTCTCAGACTTCTCACTTGTGGAACTCCCAATTTGATTTCTTGCTTCCTTTGGTAACTAAAATCTTCAAAAATTTAAATGCAACATCAATCGGCATCTTCTGTCTTCCTGAACCATTTTCCTTTATTGACTTTTCCTCACTTCTCCCCACTAAAGTCTTCTAATTCTCTTTCAATCCCTGTAACCCCCTGCATCCTAATAGCATTATCACATTTTAAATAAATCATAAAATGATAAACGATTGAAAAACTGGTTGTGTTTGTGAAATATTTTTTCTTAAATGATGATAAATTACTGCTGATATCTATCACAAAATAATTTCGGTTGAATTTTTATGTATGCTTTTGGTATTTGGTGTGTCACTGTAAATGTAATCATTAGAGTGAATGAAATGATGCATTTGTTTAGTAAGTCCTACCTGTGATAATTTACTATACATATGTAATAGGAGAGAGCCACAGAAGAAAGATTGATTCTCCCATTTGTATTTCCCCCATTATGGGCATTATTATATCCATGATGTAATAACACCATATTTCATGAACAGAATAGAATGGCTGAAAGAAAAAAGGATTGACAAACATGCTTTGTTCTCAGAGGGACTTTTATACCACTATTGTCCCATGTGGAAAACAATATATCACATATATCTACACAGCAAAACAGAGTGTAAGGAGAAACAAAAAGGAAGGGTTTTACATAAAATATGGAGATACTCCTGTGTCTGGAGAAGCCATGTTTAGGACTCCAGATTCAACCAGGCTGGATTCATCTACATATTCCATGAATGAGAAAATACAGGTCTTGGAGACAGATTTAGCCTTTGCCCCAGCCATAAGGGGTCCAGGCTAAAGAAAGTAACTTCTAGGTTTGGCAACTGTAAGCAAACTGAAATTGACTGCTGCTTTCATCATTGTATGGAGTGACATCACTAAACGATCTGTCACGTGACCCATGTGACTTATCGCCACCAAAGGGAGATAATCGGCTCCTGTATCTCTATATATGCCTATAGTAAAATTCTTTCCAATGAATTTCTACATGTGCTTTTAGTATTTCTTGTGTCACTATGTATGTAATCATTTGAATGAATGTTGAGTTTGATTTGTTTAATAAATTCTACTGATAATAATCATTTTGATACTAAATAATTTCCAATGCATTTCTATAGCAAAATAAACTCTAATGCTTTCCTATATATGCTTTTAGTATTTGCTCTGTCACCTTATCTGTAATCATTAGAGAGAATGAAAGTTTTGATGGATCTGTTTAAAAAAAATCCTACTCCAGATATGATTTATACAAAAAACTGATTTTAAAATATTCTTTATATTCAACATTTTTAGAGAAAAATACAAAAATGGAGATCAGCTTTCCGAAATTTTGGATATGCTTTGCCCAATGCAATGGTCAACAATCTGATGGGCCGTGAATTGAAAACAGAAGATTATGACACTTTGCTGCAACTGGATAGGTAAGAAGAGAATCCAAATATATGTATTTCTTCTTTTGATCGAATTTGCTACTTCCCCCACATTTTTTTCTATGTCCCTTATATATCTTTTTATCTTGCTTGCAATGCTTCCTGATTCTAAAGTGAAGATAACATTAACAAATATAAATTAAATTGTTTGATTTATTACATTTTTTCTATACTGAAGTTCACTCAATACAATGTACGAGAGCCTGTCAAGGTAGAGGGTTACTGATAACATGGTTATAAAGGATGTATGTGAGATGAATGTAAAAAGAGGTGGTAAAAAGGTGAAGGTTATGAGAAGGAGGAGGATAAATAATAATTGACCCTTGACTTGAAGAGGTCAAGAGTGGTGGGTTCAGGGAAGCATCCATGTCAGTGTCTGTCCCACAAAGTAGCACTTCACCAGAAAAAGCTGTCTGAGGAGAACTTTCACTTTACAATTGGAATACAGAAGAAATGAGGTTGATTTGACTGCATGGAAGTTGTATGCCATGTCCTAGCTTTGTTTGAACTGGTAGAATAAAAGAAAGGAACAGAGCAGTGATAGGTTTGTAACTTTGTATCTGTGGGAAAGAGGTCGCAGAATGAAGAATACATCTTACTCAAGATCATTTTTGGAGATTGGAGCCCATCTGAACATTTGCCTTGGAAATAGTTATAGAGTAGTGTTATAAAATAAAATAAGACATATCTTGGCTGATTTCCAAGCAAATAAACTAACATATTTAAGAGCAAGAGCCGGATGTGAACAGGACAAGGCCCTGTCACAAAATGACCATTATCGTCGTTTACGCATAGGCCCGACACACGAGTTCCAGTCGAAAAAATAAAATGATATTTTAAAGTGTTTCTATTTTTCGACCAATAAAAATGCTTCCTTCCTAATTATACTCACGTCGTTTTTTGAGCCTGTTAAGCCATAAAAAACACCATAAAAGGGGTCACACGGGGAAGTAATAGCAGTCAACAGGAGGCCAGGAAAGAGATCTGTCATGGTCAGTCTGGGCAGTCAGCAGGATGAGCGCCACACCAACCAGTGAGAACTACTATGAGAGATCAACACAGATCAGCAGCCGGCTTATGAACTATACCTCAAGGTAGCTGTCCCAAACCCACACGTTCCTATTGAAATAAAGCACATAAATCTATTTCTGCTGTTGTCGTATTTCTTTCTTGCAACCATACGCTTTTCTATAACAGTAGCCATAGGCTTGTGATATTGGGTCTGTGGGAAAAGAGGCTGCAGAGTGGAAACTATGTCCTGCTGAACAAGACCATTTCAGGAGATTGGAGCTCATCTGACCATTTGCCATGGAAATAACAATAAAGTAGTAAAAGGTTTGCGATATCCTGTTGGGAAAAGAGGCTACAGAGTGAAAGAATAAATCTTGCTCCACAAGACCATTTCAGAAGAGTGAAGCTCATCTGGAGATTTGCCATGGAAAGTAGAAATTATGAAGATAAGGAGAATAGACAACGATTGATCTTTGCACTTGAAGTGTTAATTGTATAATAACACTCTTCAGACAATAATTAATAGGAATTATTGGCAGCTTTGAAAAAATGTTTGTTTTTCACAACCTGCTGTTAAATAAATGCTTGCCTTTTTTTGGTTATTTTTAGTTAAGCAGTACCTTGATGGGTGACCACTTGAGAATACCAGGTGCTGTAAACTTGAATGTGTGGATGGTGTATGTAATGGATAATGGCTTGGAATTGTGAATCGAAGACAAAGCTGTTTGGCTTATTTCCCTTCTTTGTCGTTGTTTTAGGCAGAAAAACTTAACATAGGCGAAACATGTTCCATTAAGGTTGATTCATTGGAAAAACTTGAATGAAGTTAGGATTTGGTTAAAGGAAAATATCAGAATAATAAACCAGCAATGTTTCTTTTTTTTTTTTTACTATTGTTTGCCCATTACAAGGCCCAAGAACCATTCGAGGTAGGGCGTTACTGACTGAGGTTGTTGTAAGGGTATAGATGGAAGAGGTAAGATGTGCATATTATGAGGATATGTAAGATAGATATCGTTTGACTCTAGACTTGAAGAGATTAAGATTGTAGTGGTCGGGGAAAATCTTCTCATGGAATCTGTTCTACAGAATAACAGTTCTGCAGAAGAATCTGTCTCAGTGGAACTTTCTCCTTACCAATGAAATATGAAAGGAATGAAGATGATTCAACTCTGTGTACATGGTATGGTGAATTCTTGCTGTCAATGTCTGAGAGCTGGAGGAACTAATGAATCTAGATTGTCAGAATATTTGCTATAGCAATATTAATAAAGTAGTGGGAAACTTGCAATGTTCGGTCAGTCGGAAAGGGATTACAGAGTGGAAAATAATTCATCACCTATAAGGCCATGTAAACACGTTTGAACTCTGTCTAAGCTGGGTTTTGAGGACTGGGCAGCAGCAGCAGAGATATGATAGCAATACCTAATTCTTGGTCTGATCTGACTCTTGTAAAGATAGAGCATAAAAGTAGGAGTTAGATATTTTCTGGAATGATACAAGGAGCCAACCATTCTTCTGTCATCTTTAGTGATAGTATGAATGTATGACTTCCATTTAAGGTCTGGAGTGAGCTTTAGTCTCATTAGATGTTTGAGGTAAGGAGCCTCATTGAGAGTCTGTTCGCTCATCAGGACTGGAGAAAATTTGGTGTCCGCTTGGTTGGTGATGAAATCTTATTAGCTTTGTATTGGTTGTATTGAATGATACAAGCCAGTCATTCCCCTATTGAGCTGTAAGAGCTTGATCAGCAGAGAGATCAGCTGCCAGGCTCTGGTCATATACAAATAGATTATTTTTTAATGTACTGTCAGAAGCAATTTTGTTCAAATAGTTTTAACCTGAGAGATGGTCGATAATTTCTGATCTGTCCTATTATCGGTTATTTAAATTTCTTAGAAATAACCTTTGTCAGTTGTCATTGATTTTTGATGAGTATTTCTTCCATCTTAATATCAGTTGTTTTTTTTATCATAACTTCACAATTGTCATTTCACAATTTTTAGTAAACAGCGTGGATCAGAAATTGCTTTCTAAAGCTCATGCAGTGAGCCTTAGTAAGCAATTTCTGGGAGTTGTGATAAAAAGCAACTGAAATTAAGATGGAAAGAAACACTAGTTTAAAAACCTAAAAATCACCCTTAGTTAGTGCAATGATTATGTCCTGCCAATACCCCATAAATAATGGACTATTCTGTTTTGATCAGATGGAAAGACATATCAAAAAAGCTACTTGGTTTCAGTGAGAAAATGAAAGAAAGAAATAAAGAAGGGAAGAAAGAAGTGTTTAATGGCTTCTGCCAATACCTCATAAATAATGGACTATTCTGTTTTGATGACATGGAAAGAGGGGAAAAGACACTACTTGGTTTCAGTAAGTAAATGAAAGAAAGAATGAAAGAAGGGAAAATAGAACTGTTTAATGTCTATTCCAGTGAAATCTTTTCATTTGTATCCCCTTACTTCTTAAAATAATGACCAGCATTCATATTTATGATTGTTATTGCAATATTTTGTTAAAGTTGTTAAGCTCAAATATTTAACGATGCGATAGGGGAATTTCTATGTATATTTTACTGTTGTAGAATTCACCATGGGTTTATTCAATCATTAACTTAAGAATTAAGATTCATCAGAAAATTCGGATAGGCAAACTGTGAAATTTTCAATAGTTAATAGTAATTGGCAGAGTTTTGTCTAAGAAATTTGAATAACATTATAGTAGTTATCTCCCTTAAATACAGATGCTGATTTGGAAGATGTGATAAGAAGCAACTGAAATTAAGATGAAAAAATACAAGTCAAAAATTAATAATGATTAACAATGCTTCATCTAAGACATTTGAATTACATTACATCAGTTATCTCCCTTGAATATTGATGTAGTTCTGGGAGTGGTTGCTATAAAAAGCAAATGAAAATAAGATGGAAGATATACTGCTTGAAAAATTAATAATTAGTGATGCTTCATTAAGATGAAAGAAATATTAGTCAAAAATTAATTGCAGGTGTGTATATTTCTTTGTTTCACTGTGGGGGCACAATGAAATAATGCATAGGAGATTGGATTGAGGAATTGGAAAGCAGAGTTTGAATTCCAGTTGATTTCATTACATTCATTTAGAAAATGGGAAAGGTGTAAATCCATCTCTTCAAGAGCTATAGGCAAGTAGCTGGATGGAGAGGGTTCTATAGTCTTTGAGAAGGACAACTCTGAATTCAAAACCTGAGTTTTTGGTGACTAAACTGGCTCCACTACCAGACCCTTAAAGGTTTCTCCAACAGAAGTGAATAGTTTCTGGATTTGGATTTGGACTAGAATTATGCAAATTTATCTTTTCTCTTTTATTCATATTAACAATTTTCCAACAAAGATTAATAATTACTTTAGAAGAGATTTGATTTTGGCAATAAGCTTGCTAGAATAAAATGGATATAATTGCAGCTTTAGCCAATTTTTTTTTTAAAGATGGACTTATTTTTCCTAAAATATTTGTGTTTATTTCTAGAACATGAATAACCTTCATTTTCCTTTATTAAGGTCAAATCTTACCAAAAATTTTTCCTTACTTGGCATCATTATATTCTTTATTAGTTATTATTTATCGTGTCCAAGGAACCAGAGAAAATCATCAGAAACTAAATTGATTGATGAGACTTGCCAAGAAGAGATATATTTATCAGTCAGGCAGCCATCTTTGTTTATGGAGCTTTTGCTTGTCTTCTGACTTCTCAGTTGGATTTAAATTTGTTGTAACAAAGCTAAACTGTGGCTGGATTTTTTTCTTTGTCTATACGAATTCTTGGTGTTAGTTAATTTCTGGATTAGTAGATGTCACATGCACGAGTTGTTTAACCCCCTTCCCCAGGGTAGACATGTATATACATTTCTACTGAAAGTGTTTTTTTCAGACATGGAAAAAAACACATTAAAAACATAATATTCAAAAACCAGCTACAGAGGTGTTTATACATCAATC